ATTCGAGATATCGAAGTATATTTTCATAAAGGAAAATACTCACAAGGTTGCTGAAACTCTTTGACAGCCCACGACCGGTTTCGCCCTTCTTGGGGCTCATCAGGTAGGCGCAGTCCCCGAGTTTGCGTCGGGCAACTCCTCTCAGGTAATTAGTCCCGTAATAAATCTAAGACAGACCATCGCGTAGAAAGTTGTATATGGCCTCTTCGGGGGGACCGCGTCCCTCGGAGAGAATTCCGTCTTTAAGTGGAGTTTGTGGAATCCAAGCAATGTTTTTTACCGGTGCTTCACCGGTCCTGTCTCAAAGTGTTCAGAAAATTTTGAATCCATTAGATTTTACATCCATTTACACTCCACGTACTCAACTAGACCGCAATTACTTCCAGTATTTCCAAGGGTTTTACTGTAAGAGGGCAAAACTCACACATTTAAATGATGAAGCAGAAGTCAACCTTTTTTAAACAAGTATTAAGTGGGATTCCGTACTTCTCGTAGTGAGGCGCTGTTACGGTCAGAAAGCTTATCCCGAAGATCGAGCCAACTACCAGTGCAGCATGAATGTGGGCTCTGATTAGCCCAGTACCAAATAATGAGACGCTATCCGCCCAATGCCGGTTGCTAGTGCCGCATCCAAAAGGCGTTAGAATTTCTATCATGTTGCCGCCGCAAGCACTCTGACCTGGTTTTCGGCGTTGTTACACTTTGTGCACCTTTAGTGGTTGTTTTGACGGGAACACTAACCTGGAGGTTTCAGACCGGAATCTAAGCTGAGAAAAATACCTATATTACGACAAGGTCTTTCGTGACATAAAGCGTCGTCACCTGAGATCCTACCGTATCCATTTGGATGGTACCACTGTGTCGTGAGAAGTGACCTTCAAGTTATATCTCATCTGCAGCTGCTCATCACATCTCACTTCAAATCGGCTTCTTTCACGAAACTTAATTATACCGTGCTTGCCAGTTTGCACTGGCTATTTTGATTTACTTAAAAAATACCATGTAATTATGAACCTAAAATTCATTTTTCAGTCAGTTTGTAGTGCAAATATTGTTGATTTTTTTTATCAACGTCTAGCTTGAGAACTCAGTAATTTTACGCTGGTGTGACATTTACCGAAGTTGAAGGATCAAAGTAACTAATTTTCTGTCCCCCAACTTAGTGAAAACATAAAGTGACCTGGACAAATGGAAAAGTTTCTTAAGCGACCAATAAATAATCGTTCTAGGAAGTTTTTCTACAGTGTTGATGGATTTAACTCTTGATAGCATTCCCTCTTTGACACATACATAGTTGCACTAAGCAGACGAGCTTCATGACGGAAAACCAAGAGAATGACCTGTCAATGAGCATTCTATTTCAAAAAGCAGATTAAATCAGTGGTGAATCCGGGTTACTGTCTATCATATAGTTGACTTTGCCTGCTAGTTGGAGTGAATTTTGTTGGTTGGTTTTGTCTTACTTGAACTGGAATGGTCAGCTAACTGACTTGTTCTAGGACTTTTGTGTCAAACGTGGGACATGCCCCAGTAACGAATCCACTCGTTTTTCGCCAGACATTTCTCAAGTGGCCTCGTGATATCCATTTGATTCTGGATGCAACCTGGTAACGCGATATGTAATTATTATTATAATCCTTAACAATACTACCGTATGATAGTCACTAGAAAATCTGTGCCGATTCTGGGGCATTCCATTTCGTGCAGATCTTGTAGGTCTGATCACTAACTAAAAATCAGGTCCCGGAAACAGTGACGTTACAAAAAACCGCCATGAATACAGTGACCATAAAGATAACGAACATCCACTGGGTTCAATTCCACAACGTTAAAGGGAGATTAATTCTGGAAATTCTGTGTGATCGTTTTTTTGCTTGCGCAGATGGTACCTCAGCCAGAGTGTGCCTTGATAGACGACCGGCTATGTTATTACTTTGAAATATGATATCTGTAGTTGCCGTTCCTTCGATATACAAGTTGTGAGAAAGGTTTGTTTTACGCAACCAACATATTAAAATCATTTGTTGCGCGTTCTTCTTCAGCAAACATTCTATATGTTTCATCTCAATGCTGAAATGATATTTGAGGGCCAACTTTTTAGACTCATGGACTCAGAAAACTAAGCATAGTTTCAAGACCTTAAAGACAAATTTACTTTCTTGGAGCATGTCAAGTTATAAGCCACTTCTTCCCGTGGTGCAACCAGTTCAACCGCCTTCATCAAAGGTCGCTCCGGACAGGGGTGTTGTTCATTTGAGCGTCTCTGGGACACTAACGAGATTGTCATATCCCTCACCTATTTACCCCACATGGAAGTGTTCGAACCGACGGTAACTGGATAGAATTATATAAACTCTTGTACAATCCCTGACCTTTTGTAATTTCTTCCACTAACGTCTGGGTCTGTGCTCTGTTCTCCTTAAACAGCAAAGCGTTTTTTTTACATTTCGCTTACTACCACTATCTTATTTCATTGTTCACCATTCTGTTTAGTTGGGTACTGTTAGGTGATACACTTGATGGACTCATTTGAATATTTTTGTCACAAAGTATAAAAGAGAAAATAATCCAAAATTTTGAAATTACTGCAACTCATTAGCGAGTGAATCGGAAACAAGCAACTAGTGATCAATAAAATCGATCGACTTCGCGGCCGAACCTCATTGCACAGACTTGATTTCTGTATCTTGATAAGTTCAGATCGGTATCGATTGTTACCACTTTTGCTTATGCACTTCGATCAAGCTGGTTAACTTTAGACTGCATATACCGTGTGGTTTCGGAGGTACGACCGATCGACCGACCATCCGAGTTCGTCAACCCAGTCAAATCATGAAAAGCTTCAGTTTTTTTTAAAAATAAGATGGTCTTATACGTCATATTTGTTTTTAATATCTCGATCAGGTGCAAGGTTTGTGTAGTGATTTCGCGGTTTTTTCTTCGACATTTTGAAGCCTGTTAGCTGACCATGTGCAAACCAACATCGATCCACCTTACAGTATCGACACTGTATGCAAACGTGCTAAATCACGTTTTTCTATCAGGACCACAAGCGTGTATTTATTTTCTACAGTCCCAACCAATTGGGGCATTCCAGATTTAAAACTGCGTCACGCAGCAACTGCGTCCATTTCTGATTTTATATTCACATAACTCAAAAAGAAAAACTTCGTGTGTTGCAAACGTGCGAATTTATGGTAGGTCATTCCAAAATTATACTCAAAACGGTTTTTAGTGCATTTAATGGCTTTCATTCATAAGTGAAGTTTGCCGATCTACATATAGTTCTTTTCGGCCGAAAACCCATTGTGTGTGATCAGAAGTGAGCTCTTCGCGAACGGATATGGCCAGAGATATATATTTCAGGGTCCCATTTAAAAGTGGCCCTTTTTACGCAACGACCCGGCAGCGCTACGCACAACTACGCACTGATGATGTCACCTCGATTGGTGATGAAACGTTTGCAACCAAATTGCCCAGCTCAGCGAACAAGCCAACGACCATTTCAAGGATCCATTTAAAAGTGGTCCTTTCTGCGGCACAGTACCTGCAGAGAGAGGTAGTTTTGGAGAACGATAGCCGCATTCTTCACGATCAACGCGATTTTCCTATTCTAGGGAAAATTTGACCATTCAGCCTGTGCTATAACACTTAGCCATAAATGGTCAACAGATCAGCTGTTGTCGTTCCTGTGTAATATACTATCAAAAATGGTGCTGTTCCCTAGCTGTTAAGACCATGTGAAGGTAGCAATTGCGTGTGATTCTCTTCCGGAGGATAAGGTTGTTTCGAAGAATCTGATGGCCAAATGAATGGACAAACAGAAAACTGTTTTTCGTGGAACTTGTCAGTCTGCAATGCATTATGCATTTTTGGAAAGCATACGAAACTTTGGGAAAGTTTTCTGCATTATAGTACTCCTACAACGATGTTATGTACACTCGCCTTTACTAGTGCAATGCAGTGGATTGTTCACGTTTTCATACACTTATTTTACGGGCAAAACCTCAGAAGAAGCCAGTATTAACAGGCAGACCATTGTTTCGCTTGGTAATTTGAAACCTCTGATTACTTCTAGGATTGGTCCAGAAAGTAGAACTTCTCTTTCTTTGGTTTATATGATATTCAGGGCGGTTGTGATAGTATGTCTTACAGACAAAAATAATGTTACTGGCTCTACGCCGAATCTCAAAATTTCGGATATGGTGTGGGTACTCAGTAAAGTGCTTTGTGCTGAAATATGGGAACGTCCATTTCACGGATTTTACATTTTGGTCTTAGTTAAGGGCAAGGTTTGAGTCTTGTAAACATTGAGAACAAATTCGCTTTAAAATTTAGGGTGGACTGTCAGAAGGCATCATCCCTTAACCAAATGTCTAGGCAATGACCTTGGAAGAAGCTTAGTTGTGGGATGGGAGTTTGTTTTTATGATCCTTTTGGCTCGTGCAATCCATGTTAATACATATGCCACAAGTGAGTGGTGTTCCGTATGCTTTTTGGCGAGTGGTGTTTAATGATATGCAGAAACGCTGTGATACCGTGTCATAACAAGACTGCGCCAGAACATTGGTCGAGTTATCTTTAGGACAACAATGCCAGGCAATTGCATGAACACCCTCCACAGGCCGATGTACATGCCGGTGTTCACAGTCCGTGTTTTCTTTCAAGATAGTTTAGATCAGAGGGAGAAACCATCTCATAATGAGGACCTAGTTTATATGGACGTCTTTTTTCTTTGCACTGCGTTGAAATTTTCCTTAGTGTCTTCCGACTGAACCGTTCTTCATTTGTGTCTGGAATTAACGTGGATTCACTAGACAAGAAACAAAACAAGATAAAAAATTTGAGCCGAATTAAATGAGTCTTGGAAAAAATATTGGTCCAAACTCTGAAGCCCAGTGTGGGATCATAGTTACGTGAATTTGTATTAGCAGACTGTATGTAACAGACTTCAAAGAAGAAGCATGCAACTCGCCACGGAAATCATCTTGTATTCACCACGGATCTTAACATTTCTATCAAAATGTGTATGAAAGAGCTGCGTACAAACAATGGCTAGAATTGCCACGCTGAAAGCCGTTGATAAGCATTTCTGTTAATCTGTATTTCTGTACTTCTGTTGGTCGAACAACCAGGAAAGCTCCAGTTTTCTTGTGCAGCATGGCAGCAGACCGGGGGGGGGAAGCCCTAGGTCAGTCTTACCTAGAAGAAACAGAAAAATTGATCAATACAGTCACTTCGTTCAATGTACTCAGAATGCTCAGCATGTAGACTATTAAAGCAAACATTCAAAAACTTCAAGAAGATGCAAAGTCGATTAGCATGTGACTCTAGTCACTTTGCTTGATAATCGGTCCCCATTCTGAAAGGCGAGCAGCACCGACGGCGGTGGTGTAATATATATATACATATACATATACGTATATATATATATATCACGTTGGTGTTTGAACGCAGATATTTTCTTTTAATCAGAGAAATGCATGGTACAGTTAATATAGTCCCAGATGCTGAAAAATAAATAAGATGGTAGTTCTGGCATAAAATCTTCCCCGAGTCTTCGATTACATTGTTTGGCAGTCAAGATACACACGTTGGTAGAACAAGTTTAAAGGTATATTCGGTATGCAATGCTAAGGTGGTCTACAAACAGCATTATCAGGTCAACTAGCTTCCAAATGCGGCGGTCTATATTAGAGACAGAAATGTCAGAAGTAGCCAACCTCCGTCAATATACTCCATTGGTTAGTTCCCAAATTCTTACACTTCTTGATGTTGCTTTCCCCAAAATCCTGTCGAGAACCAAGTCGCCCGTTCGGGTTGCCATCCGGAAGTCCGGAGGTCTAGACTATCATCTTTACACTGAGCCATAGTAGAAAGTTTGCTGCTTCAGAAAATCTTCACTTAGCCCACCCTTTTCATGTAACCTCCTTCAACTCCTTTGCCAGCGGGTTTCGGAACACGTATCTGGCTGCATAATAATGTCAAGGAATACCCTGATGGGTTTTGTGTTGGGAGAGCGCTTTGGTACTGGTTTCTATAGGATCCAGTGTATTCTTGTTGCAATTCGTTGTCGGTTCATTCAGTCACTGACCGGAACCATGTCTAACTCAAGGGTTTTTTTCCAAAATACAACCAGAGACAGCTGACCGGAACCATGTCTAACTCAAGGGTTTTTTTCCAAAATACAATCCAGCGACAGACTACTCTCAGTCACTTTCATTCTATGATCCCTCATGTGACTCATCTTTTGGTTGGTTTTCTGTCATTACGAACCAGTTTCACGTCCCTCGACCCTTTCAAAAGTATTTTACCACTTTTGCCAATTTCTCGTACCATTATCTCCGTTTGTGGATGGCGAATCGACCTATTTGATCGATCAAGAGTTTTCTTCTTTCGGTGTCCCTCCTTTGCTTCTCAAATTTTACCGGAATCAGCCCAGTGGCCTGAGTGATGTGGAATCGTCAAACGCATTTATCCCAGAGTCGCTTGTAGTTTTACCACGCAATCATTTTCGCGTATCTTTAAGGCAGAAACTGTAGTAACTGCACCAGGAGATTACATTAGGAACACGTGCTTAGGTTGCCTTAGCGATAGTAGATACATTACTGATTTGACCGCAATAATACTGGCAGTAAAACACCAAAAATATGGAACTGTTCAGGAAGTTTATTGCGTAAGGAAACGAATGAGCTAATGTTGAAACCAATCGCTCCATCAGTAGCAGTGGTGAGCCGGTTCAAGTGATGGAAAAACAAGTATGCTGGCAAACAACGAGAATAGGGAATCCCTGACTGTTTACATATATGCCTAAACGCAATGGACTGTAGCCTAAACGCCCATTGCATAAGGACAACAGGACAAGGTACTTGGATAAACGAAATAGTTGCTAAGAATGAAGCTAATAAGCAAATCTTAATGATATCTTACTGCACCCTTCCTGCCGTACGCAGGTACGTTGTTTCCCAGCAGCCTCCCTCGGTTAAGGCTACACTGCCGCTCGAAATCTGCAAATCTTCAGAAGCAGCATTCATCAAACGAGGTAGACTATATGGAGTCGACTGATCCGAGTTTATAAGGTGGGTGCGGCGAAACATGATATGAACATTCAGACGTATGCTAAGCTAACATGATTACTCTGTCGAAGTGCCGGTTCATAGTGAGTGTTCCCTATGTAAGTTGTGGTTTTTGTTAGTGTAAAACCCCATGACGACCTGCTCTCGTTTTTTCGAACACAGTTGTTGGAAGCAAGATGAAATGGTTTGACAGAGGGTTTTAATGCATGTAGGGATGCTCTTTGTCTTCCACGTGCGCATTTTTGCTTTATTAGAAAGACTTGAATAGGATATCTCTTGTTCAACAAGAGTTGGTACTGGGAAAGCCCCTGTGGTCGCCCTCTATGATACCAAAGAGGTGGACGGGTAAAAACAGCCTAATATTGTTTTCGGGGATTTAGTGACCTGCTGTCGTTAAAAAAAATATTGGACTACGGCCCAGCGTCGCTTATAGACTGGAGAAGTGAATGCTGCTCCGAGATATTTGAAGTTCAAACGTGTGTTGGGTATGCTTCCAAAGTTGTGGTTCAACGCAGTCGAAATCCTACTCTTACGTGTCGAAACATGAGAAACTCAGATGTTTTCATCGTGACAACCAGGGTGATGCTCATGGGCCACTGTCCGGTAGCCAACCCTAAATACAGCATAAGCCACTATTTCGAATGGTAATCAGCACAAGCAGACCACTACAGGGAGCTGGCAGTGAAGAACTCCTTGGTGCCTTTGTGGATACACCACCCGCGGGCAGCTGATTACAACGACTGTCAAATGAGCCGAAAGAGTGAGATTTGAGTTAATCACTGCTTTATCCGGGAATGTTTACCATTCGTTACACCGTTTGGAATTCAATGGAAGATGGAAATCAAAATAACCCGGAAGTGTTTGAAAACACAGACCTCTGTTTTCCTATCCTTCCTTTCCTTACATGGAGCACTGCTACTATTCTTCATTACGGAACAGTTTCTGTCCTCAGCTAAGAAGATGATACCCAAACCATTCCTAGCGTTGACACTGCCCGGTCGTTCAAGCCGTAGCAGATCAAATTGACCGGGCTGAGAGGCTGGTTTAAGGAGTTTTAATGAGACGCAGCTCATGAGAATGGGCATCAAACCCGCGGGGGCCCGTTGATCTCACAAATCTTTCGTTAACCAGCAACGACCGTACCAACAAGTCTTGTGCCCTGCAAAACAGCATCACACAAAGGTACATGAATGACTAATAATTTCTTCGTTTAATGGCAAAGAGAGCACACCAACTTTGAAAAATATTTTCGGAACAGTTTATCCCCATAAAAATGCGCAAACGAACCACAGCAGGAAAGGTACCGTTATGAAATTGTTAACAATATGTTCTCAACGGTTTGCCGCATTGGAATGTACTTTTTCACAGTTGCATCAAGGTTGTTATCTATATCTCCTATCAGCTAATCAGTCTTTTCTCGGAAATCTCGCAAGCGACAGACGGCTTAATAATGGCTTCCGTGACTAGGTGAATACAAGGATTACATTCCGTGCGGATTAAGATATGACCACTAAAACCAACCTCCGTGCGATAAGCTTTGCGAAGGGGATTACAGCAAGCCACAGCTAGATAAAAAAAACTCGATGGAAAATAGTACTGCTCCAATTCAAGCTAGCGTAGATCACAAATTGTAGTACAAGCCAATCTGACGGAAAGACTGGGTCAGTACTGTAACGAGTGTAATCTTCAGCACAAAACCTCATATGAAGCTTGACTTGCCGTGCTTCGTTTCATTCGTCATTAGAGTTTAGATCCCCAAACGGTATCTAATTGTCGCAACTTTCAAATATGTTAACCATCCTATGTTTAAACTATGGCTGTACTCGTCAAGGATACCATGAAAGAATTTATTGACAAAGCTGATGAAATCGATGCAACAGCTAACAAAAAAAGGCAAAGAATATTTCTTATGTGGTGTTTTTCCTTAGGACTTAAACCATCTATTTGAGGGAGAAGAAAGTACCACCTCTGAGAAATATTATCTCCTGGGGTGCATATAACAGAGAACAAGTCTGCAAGTCTGAGCAAGTCTGAATCTTTCGGTAATGGAGATAATCCTTTGTCTTGTAAAAGTCTATTGTCTCAGTTCGTGTCGATGATAAACTCGGTTTTTTACTAACAGAAAGCCATTCTTAACTGGGAATGTTTGAGCTACTTCTTGCGCATGAGAAAAACAGCATGTAGGAGGGTTTTACTTGAGAGCGTCACTTGACATTAAAGTTCTGATACGGAATAGAATATCAACTGGCGAATTACAGATCAGACGACTCAACTGTTCTCTGAACTTGGAATTTTAGATACAAGCGTTTCGTCAGCGTGATTGGCACGTTTTCCTTCGATGAAGAGCCTACTTGACGAAATGATATCCCACCAGAACTTACTTCTGATGTCTGTTTAACTAAGGATGAAACGTCTGCAACAACCTTGTGAAGCAACAAGAAGTTTGTCATGAGGGCGATAAAGGAAGGAAATTATGTGAAGCTGCTGAATTCGACGCGAGAACTCCCTAGCGAATTCTGGCTTCAGCGGACTAATAACCCAAACATCTGTTTCCGTATAAGTCTTTCGAGATCATTATCAGCCCTCAGGAGAACCACAACAAGAAGCTAATTTTATGATAAAATTCAGAACATTTAATAATAGCTTCGCATTTATTTATTAGGGTGCCGTACGGTTTAAATGAATATCTAATACAGGTAACTAATTCAGATGGTCACTAGAATTTCAGCAGAAAGAGCAATCCTAACTGTGTATATTCTACATCGTACATGTAAGCCTGCACTATGCTTTTCGTTTGTAGTCTAGCTAATACTCGGTCTGCTTTTCACACCATGAACCCCTCGTGATCACAAGTAAGATACCTAGTCTTGGCTAACAATGTCAGGAATGTGAGCACAGAAGACTAGCATTAGGCTGTAAATTCTGACGCACATATCATTAACAACAAGACATTTGATAAAAACGGAAATTAGGACATGGGTGTCAGTTTATACGGTAGTGTCTGATTTTTCTATCTTCGGACCGCCAATGCTGTAAAATCAACAAAATTAAGCACCCAGCCAACACTTTAACCATCCAATGATACAGTTAGTAAGCATGATGTTACTCGCTTCCTTTTGATAAAATCTAGCCCCCACAAGGAAACAACAGAATCCCGAGAACACCTTCCTATTTTTTTTCAATGCACGACCTCTAAGAATATTGTTCCCGAAGATAAGTTACTGTGTTGTCAAAACTCACTGACTGGCGAAAAGTTAGTGAATATATCAAGTACGATGGAATTGTTTTTCCGTGCTTTGACAGTAAATGAGAACCTCTTGGATGCGCAAAAAACATCAGATTTAGGATCAGAATGTTTTTCATGTGGTTAGATCCTACAATATTTTCTTAGTTGTAGCTCCAGTGGAGTACGCAAACAGTAAGAAAAGTCCAACAGTCCGACAAACAGAAACGACTACACCAAGAAGTAACACGGGATGAAATGAACAAAGCGAAATTACCATTTATTCAATCTGTAAAAATAAGTGAAAATGCAAAGAAACGTAAAAGCGCTGCCAAGTAAACACCTGCATAAACTCGGGTCAAATAAGATAACTCCCTTGAGACAAAAGGTTACGTCGGCCGTCACTGCGGTATAGCAGTGTTCTTCATCGTTGAAGTCAGTTAACAAGCTAGACAGCGCAAGTGAGCGGCACCTCCAGAAGACACCACAGCTGTACCCCCACCAGGGACGATGGTGTGGATAAAACCAACGGAATTCCTAGCTGTGTGACCTAGGTTTTACTACCCAAATGATTTCCATTCACTTTTAAACTACAAAACATTATGATAAGTTAGCAGTATTTATCATATAATATTAGTAGGCCTGTTTCACTTGTCACAGTTACACATATCAGTGAAACTATGCTCTGGCAAGCCTCAAAGGGATATTTGAATGTCCATCATTAAATAATATGTGTAATTCCCAAACATTCCCCGTAAACAAAAGTGTCGATTGTCATCACAATCTGTTTCAGCCGGTCCACGGATTGTAGAGTGACTTTAGCCTATAGGTTCACTTACATAATAATGGAACCCTAGGGCTAGAAAGTGGAGGACATAGCTGGATACTCACAGTATGAGTGTTATTACTCACTGATTTCAATATTCGACTTCAGTTGAGGGTTTTAAGACACCTGCATTAATGCAAGCATATCAAGACGCCGGAAACCTATAACGGTTGTGGGTAAGAATTGAACGGTCCTATTTACCTGCAGTCAGGGGTATAATCTACTTATAGTCCTTGAACTAGTCATCCTTAACCGGAGAAAAAGCTTAACCTCTAACTCCGGGATTAGGAATTTTGATGTTGGTTACGATTCCGCGTGTTTCTGTCGAAAGTGCAGCGAAGTGTTTGAAAACACTAGCATAAAGTGATTTTTTTAATTTCTTGCCCAGGATGAGGTGGCAGGATACTACCCGTTAAGTTGCCTGTTCGGCTGGGCGTGCGGTGTTCATTCGACCATTCGTTTATACTTCCGACTCCAGCTTTTCGGAATCGCACTTCTTATGCTATCCGATTTTTTCATCGAATGAGGCAGATTGGATTTCTTTATCACCAGAGCGCACATGTTAAAATTGACGCAAAAGGCCAACAGAAGAGTGCGTCGTCTGTTATGTACAGTGTCGAATGTATAAGGACGTAAAGATGGGGATATTATGACCGATTTACTTCGTCCTCCTCATCGGTGTAGGGATGTCAGGAAACCGAGGCTGTATCAACCAGTATCAACTTGGATCAACCACTAAAAGCTAAAAAGCAGTGATCCACATTAGGTATGTTGGAAATAAGTCTTTCTGAGTTTCCTAATAAGACGGACTGTTTTGCATGTTTTAGTAACATCTTGAGTGGCATACTAAAAGCGACTAAATCCGTCGTGTTTGCACTTGGGCTCGTTCTTCTGGATTGCATTTGCAGTGCTATACAAAAGTAATCAGTTAGTTGCTGCTATTCTTTAATCGTGGCGAGGCTTTTGAGCGTCTCAGAATGTTTTTTTGAGAAGAGGGTGGTGACCGCTTTTGATGTGCAGGAACGGGGAATGGAGCAAAATAGGTTGGTCTGTCCATTAACAGGACATCAGAATAAAGTGTTTGTCCAATTAAGCGATGTCGACTAGGGTTCTAACAATCCGTTTGCTGTCTGCGAGTAACAAGGTCTTTGGCATCGGTCACGGGTTCCAGTGAGCTGATGCCCGCAAGAGCACAATGAAATCCCCCAACTGCTTTGAGTTGCCAATCTAAAGTTAGTCCAGACTTATTGGGGAGCATGGAACACAAGGATTGTGTTCACGAGAGCCTATCACTGGCTCATATCGCTGTTTGTAACCATAGCGACGAGACAGACACGTCTGTGCACTATCGTTCCACCCTTTCTCAAAACAAGTGTGACCGTCTGTATCGCAAAGCTGCATGCATACCAATATTTAAAAAAACTAAGGTTATTAATATTTTAGCTGAATTCGAAAATAAACGGAAAGATGATATTCCCAGGGTGTATGCTGTACGTGATACGGGAAACGGATCCAATATCAAGTGTAGTTTAAACAGCTAATTCCGGAGGTTTCGTAGAACGTGGTTTGGTGTGTGACTCAATCAAATGACAGCAAGCTTATACAGTCTGCAAAAGTTGAATCGTCATATAAATGGCGCACATCCCCAAGTCTTTAAAAACGTATAAAATATGCATTGTCACTGATAAAGTCCTATTGAAGATGGGCTAAAACGAGGAACGAAGGAGTGGTCTTTCACTTGATGAACCTTCCGCTTTACCGAAAACATTGTTTTGCATTCTACCTCAATGGATTACATCATCAAACCACACTTTTTTTCGCCAAGAAACGCAATAATTTAGGTCTTATTCAGAAGATGGACAATCAGAATCATCCCTACCTGTTCACAATCCGTTTCTCTCACTGATTGCAACTTCTGGTCAATTTCTCGCAAACGTACCAATTCTTTCTCGGTGCCTTCCATCTCGTAGAAAAGCACTTCGTCTGAATGGAGTATGGTTTTTCTCTCCTGGGTAGGAACGCAGGAAATTAGAAAAAATGAGAAGAACAGTTCGTACATGAACATTACCCTGTAAAGGTTTATGACTATTCCAGAGGCGTCCTGTGTGCTCCTCAGATATGATGGACAGAGGACGCCTCTTAGTCAGTGTTCCCTGGAGAGTCAGTCGATTAATGAAGTGATTCGACACACATTTGGTAAGAGTGTTCGCTTTCGAAAAATTCTGTAATTTCTCTTTCATGAGCAACGCTGTGAAGCCAACCTTGAGACTCGGTACACTAACATTTCACAAGTATCTACATCCTTCTCACCAGTGGATTTTTCTTTATGTATTCCAGCTGGTAGGGACGAAGAGATAGTTGTTTGCATCCATCACAGATAGGATGTGGACTTCCATCAGTAGTTGAATAAAGTCAGTCTCAGGTTGAAGTACCTGTAAGTCCGAGCAATAAGAGTTTCTGCATATCGCGTGCACTGGTCGGCTAGATCCACATCTAATGTGGCTCAGTTCTGGTACTGTTCACCAACTTCCCCCAGCGGATGGCCCTCTTGTATTGTTCCTTGGGTTTTTTTAGTCATCGTCGTGCGTTTCGTTAAAAGCTAAATACCCAATAACGTTCTCAAAGCGTCATTAGCCTATGTGAGCTAAAAATTTTAGTCTCCTGGACATAAACATGTGTACTAAAAACCGAGGCAGAACACCCACACACCGAGTAACGTTTCATCTTTTCGTTTCCATAGTTGCGAGTTTCGATAGATCAACCGACATTATCCAAAATCCATTTTTATTTTCATTTTCCGTAAGCACGGTGCTGCAATCTAACAACAATAGGGTTTTTTCGAAATCATTGTCATGTAGCGAATCAGTTTTGTTTGACCTAGAAAAAATGGTAACTAACTTTCCATAGGCAAACGTGATCTTTAAGTTGTAACTGAAATAATTTAACCTCTCAGTTGAAAACTACGCTAAAGTACTGTGCGGACTTGCTTTAGTGCCCGTGTAAGAATGACGTCGTCTTAATACTATCCATAAAAAAGCCCATTATTGGTTTTGCCCAACTTGGGACGGCTTCCATAGACCTAGTTCCTGAAATTCTACCAAGCTAATCTCCTACTTGAACACAACTTTGTGCGTACTTTGCGACACCCGCCACTCTGTAAACTAGGCTAATATTGGCAGAAGACTTAGCTTAAATGTCCCTGAGCCCCTCGTTTATGGTATTCGTCAACCGAATGTGCCGCACAGATATCACTTAAAGTTCCAGCTATATCAGATGGAAACTATGCACAAGGCAGAGAAATGCGCTGTGATACATCCTTTAGAGGCTTATCATGTAGGTTTAGCCCCAGAACTCCCATCTGCTCACCAACAAATCACCAGTGGGGAAGTTTTAGTTGGTGTAGATTTTACAGCTTCATGTTTTACTGTCAGTTATGCAAATAGTGATCATCTCAGCGTTTAGGTCGTTCGCCAACGACTAGCTCTTGACCAGCTGTACGGTATCTGACACATTCTGGTTATCTCTTTCGATGGGGTGATATGCAATTCACCCGTTACTTTTTTTGTCCGCTTCTGTTTTCTAGACAGTCTTCGAGTGCTCTCCGAGTTTCCAAAATAAGTGCCGAACGAGTTCATAAGTGAACGTTTAGGTCAATGCTCCTTGACCCAGTGCGATCCATCAGGAATCGTCACCAAGGCGGGCTTGCACTGATGACCGCGCCGAAACGTCAGGAGAAACGGGTAGTAATTTGATCTTTAGATGAATCCGATACTGCGGAAAAAAGCACAGATGCTAGCCACAAACGGCAAAATTTGCAGAATAGACACAGCACTGAAACGCAGACATCTGTAGACAAACGGTGGGATGAAATAAGTAGTGATGTTCTTCTTATAATGTTGATGAAAATTCTTTGACCGCCCACGACTGGTTTCGCTCTTCTTGGGGCTCATCAGCTGGGCGCAATCTCCGATTTCCCGTCAACGTTACGTTCTACTTAAAACCAAAGTGCACGAAATTAGCGAAATACACTCAGTTGCAAACAAATTTGGTTTTGCGAGAGATTCACCTGAAACCCGAACAGAGTGATATAAAAGTAGTGTAGAGCAAAATCACCATTTTTCATTACTAATTTCATTATATTTTATTTATTGTTATTCCATTTTGGGGCGTGGTAGTCCACCTATCAATGGAAAAATCGATATAATCTCAGTCTTGTAATTTGGCTCAGTCTAAGGCGACAAAATCTGGCCAAAATAGTCTCAGTATGCCTGAGTCAAAGAGCAAAGACGATATTACTTCCGCATCGTAGTTGGTGTTGAGAGATCTCAGACCAGATAAAGATTTCTGACGATATTTGGTTCTCTGGAAACGCCTAAATCATCTACACGCTTTCAGATTTCCTTACAACGCCGTTGCCAAGTTTGTGTGTACAGTAAAACACCTGTCACCGTAAATGTTGAGCAAGAACATTTGCGTCGCCGTTTTCACATGGAACGATATTGAGTAATTCGTGGATATTGAAATAGTAGACGCTCATCTGTCTGATCCGGTTAGATCAAAAATCCTATAAATCGAACATACCACTGAAAAACTAGTCAAATGAGAAAAACGTGCGCGCTAATTCATGGTTGTCCTGGGAAAACTAATTGAAGGATAATCGGTTGTAGCATTGGAGTACACTACTTACAAAATAATGGAGGTGAAAAACCTTGTGGGGAAAAGCCATTTCATGGTCAGTTATTGCCCATCACTCGAGATTTAATTAACCTGACAGCTTCCACAGTTATTCTGTGGACTTGCGAAAAGTACCTACAGATTCAAGTCCCTATTTGGGAATATAGCTGAAATGATGCAAATAAATTAAACGCTTACAGATATTTTCGTAATTCAGTGACTATTGTTCGATGTTATGTATTGTTTCACTACCTGTGGTTGCTTCGTTTATTTCCCATGAAACAGACATACCCTCAATTTTTCAGATGTGTACAACGGTTAAAAATGCTGCCTTCCAAAAACTACCTGATTTCCAGATTTCTTTGTGATCGGCACCCAAAAGAAACCTCTCAGCTGGCAGGCTTTAGAGGCTTGTGTAAATCCGGCCATTTCCTGGGTATTACGGAATACTCGCAGTAGGATTCTTAGTAAATTCAGCCGCCATGTAAACCTTCATTCAATATATCCACAGACACGTAAGTAAGTAGCTGCTTGCTGAAACCCCAACAAAATCAGTCGTGTGCCCAGTCATGGTTGCAGGTGATTCTCACATCAACACAGCTGAAAGAAAGCCCTTCCAATCCCCATCTGAAAGTGTATTTCCTCTTCCAGAGGTGACATTCCGGTGGAGATCTCCGCAGCACTTCACAAATATATACATTAAAGACATATTGAAGTGTAAAGACACCGGCCGAATTAAGAGGGTTCTCTTACATCTGGTGCTGCTTAAGCATAAGCCGAAATTTGCTCAAAAGTACGAGTGTACACCGGTGTCAAGACAATCCAAACTAATATGCTCACCTCATCTACTTCTTGGACAGAATTGCCTACATTTGTGGAAGATATGTGTGGGAGTGAAATGTTTTCTTCCTCCTTTTCCATGACGAACACCCGCAGTTGTTGATCAATCTCTTTCAGACGTTCCTGGATTTTCTCAATTTCTGGATCGTTCCCTATCAAAGATAATTGACCAGCTTTTGAGGAAGGCCACAAAGCCAATTCATCCCGTGTTATTATTGAAATCTGGTTGTCTTCAATCTCATTCTATAAATTGATAAATACATTTAGACGAGACACTGTTAGACAAGAAAAAAGGAACAGAGCTTATCCACATCTGTCCTGGAAGCTTGAAGTGAGCAAGTCGATAGAAACGATGAGTGACAAGAGCTACTAGCATCTATTTTTCATTTGATGCATAAAACTTTTGGTCCAAATTTAGGACCAGTCTTTTGCTTCCACCAGTGATTAAGCAAAAGGTTCGGGAGTTAGATAAACAGCATGCTAATTTTGCAAAAATATGTATAAAGAGAATTAGCCGGACGCAACTGAATAGTCTGACTGTTCTGTGGTCCATCGCAAAGGAGCTGATGCCCCGCATTTGGAATGGAATTTTTGGTCACAGTGATTTAGCTATCTAAGCAGTTTCAAAGTGGGAAATACGGTTTATCTAGGTAATTAATAGTTGTAACAAGTGTGTGAATCTCACCTGTATCTCATTTACTCTTATTTCAACAGGTTTAGGAGTCTACGAGATACCAAGCAACTGCAGTTCACTGGTGGCCTCAAAATCCGCACAAACTCTTTGTACACTTACTATGCTAGGACATTATGGAAACGGAAATCAAGTCATGTAACTACACCTCAAGGGGAAAGAAGATCGGCCCTAAGCGATTAGAGGCGTACAACCCGTGTTCTGTCCAAATCTTCCATCCTTCCGCCTACTCTTAACAGAAAGTGGCAATATTGTGTTTCCGAATGTATCACTGCATTCTGCTTGGCTCTCATCTGCTCATGAATCACGGCTTAGTTACACTAAGGAGTGATCCGACAGCGTGACTCGGTCATCTTCTTATTCTGACCCACGAAATGATATTCAAATTCTTGGGGGCCCCAAAGCACCCTCAGCTGAAGGTTCATGAGTAACAAAGTCACTGTCTGACTAGACCCACATTGAGGACAAAGTTGAATGTTGCGTTTTCGGTTTACATGTCCCGTATCTTGTTTTAATCCGCATTCAGACAACACAACTCGCGTCGGAAGGTCTCCAACTCAGATGCGGTACTTCTAGCCGGAAAACTAATTGTCACGACCAGCTGCCATACGGCTGGGATGCATTACGCCGTCACGTTTGATGCTAACGTTTCCCTTTCTTATATCGACGATTAGATGATCAGGCCTTTCTTGCAAGCAAAAACTATCTACGTTATAGAAAAGTGCTACTTAAGACCCTTCTATACAACAAGGTGTAGAAATGCTTCACATCGTTACCGGCAAAGTAACGTCCATGCTCCGATCCCGCGTTAGCTTGTGTAAAGTGATTGTTGTGCCTCGATAGTTCACAGCGACTAGTTAGGTAGTTTATATGTGAGCAGGTTATCGCAGCACTGCTTTCCGACTAAGTGCCGGGAAAATTTGGAGACGCAGTAGCTATACCTGCGATGAAACGATACGGCATATGTTCGTCCTTTTGAATCCGAGGAGCCTGTCATCAAATTTGGAAATATCAGCTTAAAGGAGCTGAGTAGTTTTGTCCTCACTGAAAAGCGTACAACCGCGTGTGGAAGTGTTTGGAACAAGATATCCCAGCGCACCGCCAAGGTCACAGTGGGGTTCCACGACGAATGCAGCGATGCGATGCTTTTCTTTCGCTAAAGTGTTGGGACTACTATGCGTGTCATCTCACTTTACGGATACGAAGCCTAGCCCATAAAAATGACGTTCATCCTCTAAGTGTATCAGAAAATAGCCACTAAAGGAATGTCTCACGGGGCGCTGTTAAAAACGCAAGGGTATAGTAAAGCAGAGATCTTTAGGCGCTGATTTTCTCGCCAACCGATTTAGCTCGGGCATATCTAATACAGTGAAACCAAATGCTCCATGTATTCCATTTTGCACACGGGGTGCAGAGAAGTCAACTGAAATAATGACGTTTAACGAAGAGCTATGAAAAACGCCTAGCTGTTTTGTCCCCTGTAGGATGATTCCGGTCCCCTCTATGGGTCCTAAAGACTTTGATTGCTTTGATCAAAAACATCTGTGAACCAGTTGCGGGACTGTGTTAACTCCATCAGCTGTTACATAACAAGTCAGTTTTCAACACATAATAATACAAATGAGACAAACGTTATCCGCAAGATGGCTGTTTCCGAACTGGAACAATAGGTGTTGACCAAGAAAAGAACGCATAAATTAGCCAAATCACTCGTCTCATTTATCGTCACTCAACAAGTGAGATAAAAGAGCGTTGAAGTTAGCTATATTTGATTCAAGGACAAGAGGAGCGAAGTGGCTGTTTATTCAGCCTTACTAACTTGGTTATACAGATTGTCCAACCTGAGTAAAAAACACCTACAAAAGCACCTGGCAAGGGCTGCCCAAAAAAGAGCATCTCCTTCAATAAGAAAACTGTGAACGCTTGTGGTGCGTGAACTGAACACTTCTACTACTGCGTAGAAAAGGCGGTATTCCTGATCAAAACCCATCTGTTTTTATCAAACTCCACACTAATGGCTCATTTCTTTCCTACGGTATCGAATCACTGGACTGACTAGCCCAGACTCCTGACTCCTGATTTTTAGCTACCTATTCGAACCTCAAGTCGGGTGAAAGAAGCATTTCTCCAGGACAGAATTCACTTTCTTTCGGAGTTAAGTAGACCGGCCACAAGATGCTATTGTCACAGTCATTCCCCTCTTACCATACTTCGTCTTTCCAAAACAAACATCAGCGTCTTGCTTCCGTGTTTCTTCCCAGCAAAATTCAAACCTGAGGTGCAGAACATCTTTCGAAATGTGTTCAGTGGTGGGTTATCTGTGTGCGTGTGTGTTACTGGTCTGCTGACTTGAAAAACGGTGAGACGAAAGCTATACGGAGGAGACAGCGCCTTAACTTACTTCCATGAAAGAACATGCTTTATTTTGGTTCAGGGATGCATAGTTATCCCTTGGAAACAATCTCCAAAGTTCAGGAAAGTGCTTGTGTACAACACTGGTCCAATTGTTCCGACATCTTTAATCATTATTAAAACCCTCCACGGTGTTCCTAGTAGACCAAACTGTGGTGGTAATTCATGCTAATAACAGAATCCAGTGAATACTTATGCACATTACAGACTACTAAGTAATGAAGGACGAAGTTCAATGTCCTAGATTCCTTGAAGTTTTTGGGACATGGTTCACCTCCACTTGGTTGTTATTGCGGTCGACTATTTAAGTATTTTTAAAGGGGGGTATTGTCGACTTCCAGCGTGATGGAAGACCATACGTGGGTCGACGAAGTGAAAGTGCACAAAGCGAAGGTAGTGATGGGAGACAGAGACGCGCTCCCTCTTTGCAGTCAGTCGATGTGCTGGCTAGTTAAATTATCTCAGATAGCCAGTTAGCCGCTTCTACAACACAATATAAAGCAAATTAGTTATTTTTTGCATACACCGATCCCGTGAAGCTGACCGATACAGAGTATTTAGCCTCTAGTTTGGTAATGTACCGCTTCCTAACAGATGGGACTAGCGTCGTTTGGGCCACGGAGGTGGAATTTTCTACGGAAGGGTTATGCTTCACGATTACCACTTGGCACATTCCGCCTCAATGCTTCATTTACTATTCCGGTTTAGCGGTTTACTTGATGCTTATAAAACGACGAACTTGAAACGCGCGCACAGGTGACTAACGGAATGATCAGTCTAGGGGACGGAGTAGCGGTAGAATAGAGCATCATGGACTGATGAAATGAATAGTGATTATGAGTGCTTCTTCGAAGAGTATTGCTGCAGAATATAGCTTTACTCTTGGGAGACTGCTCTGTGGTCTTAATATAAGCGAAACCTCATGCATTCCGTGACCACCAGCTTTCATTTGGTCAAAGAAAGCCACATCTATAGATGTAATGCACCACCCATAAGTTTGCTGGAGACAATTCGACGAGCTTCCAGCAACCTTATGGGTAGTCTATTACTTTTTTATATATATCGCTATTTCCCGAATTTCACACCAACTTGGTGTGAAGCACTTTCAGTTGCTTAAAACATCATAAACGAGAGATTCAGCTGGGTTCTAGGTGAGTCTACCATCAACACCAAATTGGTATGCAGATGAGTGCATTTTACTGAAATCACATCTCATTTATTTGATGAGATATTATTCCTAAGGTTGCTGTAGATTCTTCGGCAGCTCAAAACTAGTTCTGTGTTGCTTGTGGACCATCAAGTAAGCGTACTCCATGAGTTTCTGCAGATATTATGTTCCACTTAAACTGCACTGGGCGCGATTCACCAAATGCGCTTATTTGCACGCTAATATGGTTTTACTTAGAGACTCAGCTGAGTTCCCGGTCAATTTGTAGTCTAGGCTACTTCCCATCAGAGAAGGATTCAGTTTATATTCGGTTGAGTCTTTCAGTACATCCAGATCTGTCTACAAATGAGTGTATTTCGCTAATTGGGTCTAACTTACCTTGTTGATTTTATCCATGCGCTACAGCCGCCACATGTTTCGTGTTAGCATGAAAAGCGTATTGATTCACATCTAAATTGAGACGCGTGACTATAACGCGGCTCATCAGCTAACAGCGCGTTCACCGCACGGCCGCTGTGAGAAGGGTTATCTGCGTAGGACACGGTCGCAATCATCTCTGAACCTTTAATTTTGAACAATTTATCAATCTGATGACAACATTAGCGAGTATACACTCATTTGTAAACTAATTTGGTCTTCCGAGAGACTCACCTGGAACCCAACTGAATCTCTCGCTTGTGATGTTTCCAGGCATGATGACATGTTTTTATAGGCTGTCCTCGTATAGATGAGAACTGTTTGCTAATCAGGATTCCAGTTGCAAGTGTCTCGCTCCCAAATCAGCGCGACCTAAGCGGTCATTTAGAAGGTTCCGAATGGACACTATTTGGTATTAAACAGATTTCTCAAGAAAACACAACCGAAAAACATCAAAATGCCATAGGCCTAATCAGAACGCACACAACTGTTAAAACTGGTTCACAAATAAATAGGTGTGAAACTTTACAAGTGAAGTTAATACGTTAGGTTGAC